AGAGACTATCCAGGCGCCGAGGCCTCCTGGGGCTGCCGAAACATTGCCCTGGTGAAAAACGCTGTGTTTCCTGATATTCATGACCTTCCCAGGGATTACACCTGAGAAAACGCTGTGTTTTCCTGATATTCCTGATATTCCTGACAGTTCCAGAGACTAGCCCCAGGAGGCCTCGGCGCCTGGGTAGTCTCTGGAAATGTCAGGCATATCAGGAATATCAGGAAAACACAGCGTTGTCTCAGGGGTAATCCCTGGGAAGGTCAGGAATATCAGGAAAACACAGCGTTTTTCACCAGGGCAATGTTTCGGCAGCCCCAGGAGGCCTGGGCGCCTGGGTAGTCTCTGGAAATGTCAGGAATATCAGGAATATCAGGAAAACACGGCGTTTTCTCAGGGGTAATCCCTGGGAAGGTCAGGAACATCAGGAAAACACAGCGTTTTTCACCAGGGCAGTGTTTCGGCAGCCCCAGGAGGCTTCGGGAAGCCCCAGGAAGCGTTTCGGAAGACTCGGGAAGGCCAGGAGGCCTCAGGAAGCCCCAGGAAGCCCCAGGCCCTCCCCCCCCAGGGCGCGCGAGGAAGAGGAGTAGCAAAAAAAGAAATATGTATGATCATGTGGGGGGGGCTACATATATATATATATATATATATATTTTATATATATATATATATATATACACATACATACATACATACATACATACGCACATACATACATACATACATACATGCATGTATGCATGCATACATACATACATGCATGCATGCATGCATGCATGCATCCATACACATATACATATACATATACGTATACAAATACATATACATATACATACACACATACATACATACATACATAAATGCATGCATGCATGCATACATACATACATACATACACACAAACATACATGCATGCATGCATGCATGCATGCATAGAACATACATACATACATACATACATACATGCATGCATGCATGCATGCATGCATGCATACATACATACGAACATACATACATACATACATACATACATACATACATACATACATACATACACACATATACAGACAGACAGACAGACAGACAGACAGACAGACAGACAGACAGACAGACAGACAGACAGACAGACAGACAGACAGACAGACAGACAGCCATACACACATACATACACACATACACATACATAGAAAGAGCGTGTTCTACTGCTGCCGGCGGAAAACCGGGGGGGCTCACTGCAGGGGTTGCCAACCCGTCCCCCCCCCTCTCGAAAACCGGGGGGGGGGGGCACTACCGGTTCGAACCCCTCCCCCCCCAGTCCATCATGAAAAGGGAGAGGGGTCACTACCAGTTCGAACCCCCCCCGCCCTCCTCGAAAACCGGGGGGGGTCACTTCCGGTTCGAACCCCCCGGGCCCCCCCACCCTCGAAACCAAAGGGGGTAACTACCGGTTCGAATCCCCCCCACCTCTCCCTCGCCGCCGGCCGGAACAGTGGTGCGGACAGTGGTGGGAACGGTGGTGGGGACAGTGGTGCGGGGACAGTGGGACGGTGGTGCGGACAGTGGTGGGGAGGGTGTGGTGGGGACAGTGGTGAGGGGGCAGCGGGACACTGGGGGGGACAGTGGGACAGTGGTGGGGACGGTAGTGGTGGGGACAATGGTGAAGGCGGTGGTGCGGAAGGTGGTGGATACGGTGGTGGTGTGGACAGTGGTGCGGGGACAGTGGGACAGTGGTGCGGACAGTGGTGGGGAAGGTGGTGGTGGGGACAGTGGTGAGGGGACAGCGGGACAGTGGTGGGGACAGTGGGACAGTGGTGGGGACGGTAGTGGTGGGGACAATGCGGACGGTGGTGACCGGGACCGTAGTACAGTGGGAAGAGTAGTGGGGACAGTGGGGACAGTGGGACAATGGTGGGGACAGTGGGGACAGCGGGACAGCCCAGTGGGACAGCCCAGTGGGACAGCGGCAGGGACAGTGGGGACAGTGGGACAGTGGTGGGAACAGTGGGACAATGGTGGGGACCGTGGGGGAAGCGGGGAGAATGGGACCGTGGCGGGACAATGGCGGGGAGAGTGGGGACAGTGAGACACTGGTGGGGACACTGGTGGGGACACCGGGGACAATGGTGGGAACAGTGGGGACAGTGGGACAGTGGTGGGGACTGTGGGACAGACAACAGCGGGGAATGTGGTGCGGACGGTGCTGGGGACAAGGGAGTCGTTTGACAGCGGTGAGTAAGGGGGGGGACTCGAACCGGTAGTGACCCCCGCCGATTTTCTGGAGGGAGGGGGGTGGTTCGAACGGTTAATGAACCCCCCCCGGTTATCAGGAGGTGGGGGGAAGGGTTCGAAGCGGTAGTGACATCCCCCGGTTTTCCGGAAGGGGGGGTAAAGGGGGGGGGGTCTGCGGGGGGAAGGGGTGGGGGTCCAGCAGGGGGGGAGGGGTTTTCGGAGGGGAACCCCTGGGTTCCAGAGGAAGAGGGGGGGAACTTTCCATTGTAAAGCGGCAGTGGATCATGCTCTGTCCTATATATACGCGATTAGGTTGTAGGCGACTGCGAAGACGTTACATGTAAGGTCAAGATGGCTCCCACGATTGCAAAGGAGAGGCCGATGAGAGGAGACAAAAGGCCCTGGATGGGGCCCCAGGTCGCCCCAAGATGAGTTTCTAGGGCCTCGCTTGAAGGGTCCCTGGGTTCTGTGGACGGGCGTAGAACCGTCTGAACGGGCCATGGGACGCGTGAGAGGGCTCCTAGACAATCGCACAAGCTCTTGGACGCATGCTGGCGGGGTCCGTCTTTGAGGTATCGTGCAGCCGTCTTGGAACCGCCGTCGGCCTATCTTGGGCCGCCTTGGTACGTTTTTTTTCAGGACGGGGCTCTCGCTGGACCTTTCCTCTTACTAGATGACCAGAGTTTTCAAATTGTGCAACAGCCCACTGCACGGAGGCACCCTGCCTTAACGCAACAAATCGGTTCGGCTTTCGCTCTTCTGAACTCTCTTGCCAAATCTGCGGCTTCCTCCCAAACTCGTCTTCTTCCTTGTCCTCACGCCGTTGCCCTGGAACTCCTTTCTTCCCTCCCGTCGCAATGCTCCGCTTCCGCCCTTCCTCCCCCTTCTCCTCGGGATTGCCTGCGCACTCTTTCAGACGGATCAGCGCCCCTGACATGACTGCTCCCGCGGGAGGTGCGTTAATGGGGGGCGAGAGCGGCTGCGGAACCGCGGCGAAGGGTTCCCAGTTCAGCCGCGCTGGCCCTCGACGGCCACGCCCGCGGAGAAACAAAGCGGCCGGCGATCGTCACCGGGAAGCCGCCTTTGGCGATTCGCCAGCCGCGTGAAACGATGCCGCGCGCCGCGCCCGAACGGCGGGCAGATCCGCGCACGCCAGGGGGCGAGCGCAGTGCAATGCCGCCAGGGCGGCGCAGAAGCCGAAGCCGTCGAGCCGCGCCCGCCGAGGCGCAGCGGCAGCCGGCAGCGGACGCCCTGGCCCTCCGTCAAGTGGTCCAGGTGCGTCAGCTTGTGGTGAGCCTTCAGAATGGCTGCGTCGTAGGCGGAGGCGGCGACCCGCGCGGTCGCGGGCGGGTCATCGCGCAGGAGGTGCGCCAGCTTCCCCGCGCCGCAGTTCTGCAGGAGGAGCCCGGCGGCCTCCGCCGCCGGCAAGTGCGGCGAAGAATATCCAAGCAGCTCCGCGAGACTCCTCAGCAGCGTGGCCGTGCGCGCCGCGGCCTCGGCACAACGCTCGGCGGCGCGTCCCCAGGTCCGGGAGGCGCCCGTCCGTCGCGTCCCGCAGGTTCCCTGGTGACAGTGGCTCGCCCAGGGGAACGCCCACCAGCGTGAGGCCGCGCGGACGCCACTGTTCCTCGAGCCCGGCCGGGCACGGCGAGCGCGGGGACCAGGCCTGCGTTTTGCGCGGCTGGAGCTCAAGGCCGAAGGCGCCCAAGGCCTCCTGCGCTGCCAAGGTAACGTCGGCAGCCAGTTCGGGCGGCGCGATGACGACCGCGTCGTCCGGGTCAGCCAGGACCCAGACGTCGTCGGGCCGCAGTCCCCGGGCAGTCGCTGCGGCGCGCAGCGCGTCCTGCACTGCCTGCAGGCGAGGGCGCAGGCCGCAAGCGAACAGCAGCGGCGCCAAAGGGTCCGCCGAGCGGAACCTGTGGCAGGTCCCGCTGCTGACCCACAAGAAATACTAGGAGAGCGACGAGCTTCGCGAGGGGGAACAGCTCCGGGGACGCGGCTTCCAGCTCAGCCAGGCAGTGGGCCGTGCTCGCGTTGCAGTAGGCGTTCCTCGTGTCTAGCGCCGTCAACACCAGGTTCGAGTTGCTCTCGGAGGAAAGCGCCTCTCCTCCTCCTCCTCCTCCTCCTCCTCCCTCCTCCTCCTCTCTCTTCCTCCTCTTCTTCCTCCTCCTCCTCCTACGCTCCACCTCCACCTCCTCCTCCTCCTCCTCCTCCCTCCTCCTCCTCCTCCTCCCTCTCCTCCTCCTCCCTCCTCCTCGTCCTCCTCCTCCTTCTCCTCCGCTTCCTCCTCCTCCTCCCTCCTCCCGCCTCCTGCCTCCCTCCTCCCTCCTCCCTCCTCCTCGTCCTCCTCCTCCTTCTCCTCCTCCTCCTCCGCAATGACGATGCCGATGCAGATGGATGATCGATCCACCTGGTCCAGCCCTCGAGGATCCACTTGTTTCCTGCAGCCGCCCGCCACAGAAGGCACTGTGGCGAAACTTGATGCGAATGAGGAGCAGCATAAGAGGAGGGAGAGGGAGAGGGCGACGAAACAAAGGGAGATGAGGAAGGGTAGAGCAACGAGGTGTGGAGGAGTCGCCTCGGAATTGCCTGACACCCACAGCGGGCGGGGGGAACACCCACAGCAGGTGGGAGCGACGAGGAGTGGCGGAGGAGGAAGGAGGATGAGGAAGAGGCGGAGGAGGAGGGAGGATGACGTTGGCCAGGAGGAAGGGAAGGAGCAGGGGCAGAGTGAGGAGCAGTGGAGGATGGGGGGGTAGCACGAGGGTGCTTGC